CCTACTCCTCCTAAGCGCAGTTCAAGTTCCCCTTTCTTGAGTATTCTTCTGGCCATGATGTGGACTGGGTTGGGCTGCCCTTGTTTGTCTCCGCAGCACCAGGATCCTCCTGAAGGAATCTGATTTGAAAGGTCACTTCCTTCTTAAACACCTTCTAACCCTTCCTTATACAATGGACTCGTGTGCCTGATTGAAGCCAAAGGAGGAAGGAAGTGGACATGAGAAGTAGCGGAGCAGAAGATTGGCTCGGGGCTCACCACCTCTGCCTCCTGCCCGTCTCCTCAGCCCTAGATCACAGTGATTGCCTCCCGACTTCCCCCTCTGCTGCTGCACTACAGGTGCTTCTCGACACACAAGCCGTGGTGATCCTTTTAACCACAGCAGACTGTGCAACTCGGCTCAAAAGCCTGCAGTGGCTCCCGAATCATCACACCGAGAGTCCAGGTATCTTCCAGGCTTGCCATCAGCACTTCTCAAACTTGCACCTGCATCTCAACTACCTGGGGATCTTGTTAAAATGCAGACTTGTGGGTCTCCCTGGTGGTGCAAGGGGTTGAGTACAGCACTATGAAGCTATCCGTACCCTCTGCAGCACAAGTTCAATCCCCAGCCAGGGAGCTACCCACATGGCGCAGCAGACCTCTCCTGTCTAGCCCGCTGCTCCCCTCAACAGTATATTTCGGTCAGTCTGCCTGCTCTGTTCCCCACTCTGTCTCTGGTGAATCCTTTCGTGCCCCACACCTCTGGTCTGTGCCCCCATTCTTGTATGCATAAATAAATAAATCTTTTAAAAAATGCAGACTTGTGACCAGTAGGTCTGAGGCCTGAGATTCTGCATTTCTAACCAGGTCACATGTGAGGCCCCTGCGGCTGCTCCTCAGACCCCTCTCTGAATGGGAAGGCTCTTCGTCACCCTCTTTCATCACTGTCCTCCTATTCTTGCCCTCTCCACTCCAGCCCTACTGGCATCCCTGCTGTTCAAAGAATATACCAGAAATGTTCTCTTGCCTTAGGGCCTGTGCACCAGCATTCCTTTGGCCTGGATGGTTCTTTTCCCAGATATCCACTCAGCTAAGGTGCTTTCAGATCTTACTCAGATCTTACTCTTACTCAGATCTCAGCATTTCAGTGAGCTCTGACCTGATCACCTGATGTTCTATCACAGCCTGCCCTCCACACTCCCAGCACTGGTGTGGCACTCCTGAAAGCCTTGATCTTGCTCTTCTGTTCTTTGTTTTTGTTTGACATAGTGTTCATGACCTTTTAACATGTTTTATAAATTGACCTATGTTTTGTATTCATTCTTTTGTTATCTAGCTCCTCCCCAATTCCACAAAGCCGGTTCCTTGAGAAGTTTCTTTGTGCGTTGTGCTCACTGATGTTCCCCAAGAGTCTAGAATGGTAGCCAGCAAATACTGTTTGAATTTTGGATTTGAATGTGGTGGGTGAGTGAGGAGGAGAAATTACGAAAACGTGGCATGAGTGCGTGTCCTCCACTGAGTATATTTTTTCCCAAGTGCATTTGCTTGGTGCTTGGCATCCTGATGTGAGATCTTGCTTGGCACGTTGCAAAGGTTGCTCTTGCTCAAGACACAGCAAAGCACGTTGTGTTGGAGACATTTCATGTTTCCCTTTCTTTATCTCCAGATGACTTGAAATAAAATGTTATCTTTCTTCTAATAAACTTGCCATCATCTTCAGAGTTATATTTCAGGAGAGAAATAAAAAATGGTATTTGCAATTACTGTCTTCCGTCTTATCCATGACTCAGACAGGTAAGTGCTTCTTCTGTCTTCATTGTCTTCAAATTTAGTAAAGTAATCAAGTGTGTCTTTTATGATGGCAGAAGTTGATTCCCTTTTAATTGTCACTTTATCCTCCTTCTCCCTTGATTTTTCTCAATCCTCCTACATTACTAAGCTTTAACCAGGCATTGTTTGAATGACATTACAGTCAGCATTTTTATGTAACTAAGAAGATTATATCATGGAATAATAACACGAGCTATTTCACCACTGACTTACCTCTTGAATTGATCTCAGGCACTATGCACAAGATCAACAAATTGCCTTGATTTTTTATTGGATTTACTACTTGTCCATCCTAAAAAAAAAAAATCTTTTGAATCACATGAAATTGCCAATATTCAACCATTTTGGCTTACAAAAATAGCAATTTCATATGGTTCAACCTAAATATAGTAAAAAGATTTTTTACCTACCTCCCTTCAGAGAACAATGCATTCCTAAGAAAGGGAGCAAGACTTGTGTGTGGCAAAACAAAAGGTTTTCTGGAAAATAACTGGTGAAGAGACCTCACTCTTGTTATTGTTCGCATGCATAGCCTCCATCCTGACCCTCAGGGGACCCTTGGGTGCTCGGGGCTAGAAAAGAAGTCTAGAGGATAGCAATGGATTAATGAGGCCATGGGAAACTTCTGGTGACCATTCATGTTAGAGAATTCTCAGTTTTTTATCCCATCCACGTGTCCTTTTTCCAAACCTTTTTAATCAAGCTCACAAATCTGTTCCTTAGGTCGTGACTACCCACTAGGATTCTTTAACTAATAAGGATTTCGTGTCAATGCCTACCTTGGGTCATCTTCCTTTCCAAAGTAGACTGACATTCTGTTGTGATAGGATTTCTCTTCTTTACCATCCTTTCAGATCACACTTGAGTGAGGCCATGTTCTGAGGACATTTAACAAACTACTCCAAACATATGCTTATGGATTGTTGGGTCAGGAATTCAGATGGGACACTGCATGTCCTTGGCCTTAGCTGGAACACTCAAAGGCTGGGGTTGACTCTTCAGTTGGGGACAGGGTTCCTCTTAGGGCATCTTCATTTAATGTGTCTAGTAGTTGCTGCTGGTGGAAACTCCTTGGGCTCAGCTAGAACAGCTACACATGGTCTTTCTTTGTGATCTCTCTGAGTAAGCTGATCTGGATTTCCTCAGAGCATGAGCCATTCAAGAAAGCCAGATGGAAGCTGTGTCACCTTTATGATCTAGCGTCAGGGGTGACATAGCATCACGTCTGCTGTAGGAACGGGCCTACAGCCCTTCCTGTCCCTTCAAGGGACAGGAACACAGATTCCCCTGCCACTCAATAGGGGGAGTGGCCAAAGCACAGCATAAAAAGAGCATGTGTGATGGGCAATTCTGCAGCTCACGAATGCTAGCTGTTACTGTTAGGCAGACTTAGATCATTTTTGTTGAATGTAAGCTGTTGAAACAATTATTTCTAGTGATTGATTTTCACGGATGGAACAGTTTTAAGCACCATGGAATGATTTTGAACCTTTTATTGCACCTTTGGGCATTTTTGTTCATTTTTCAGAATTGGAGTGATTCTGATCATTTCTAATTCTTTGAGGACTTACATGTAGAGGGATTAGCTGTCAGCTGGAAAAGTGGCTTTCTAGCAGAGAAAACAGAAGTTTCTTTTTCACTGAACTCACACTATAACTAGATGCCCCAATCCATGAAAATCATAAGAGGATCAATGTTTAGATACAATTTTTTTACCTTTCTTAAAATCCAAGAGGAAATTTCTGTCTCCCACCCAGCAGCAAGGCAAACATCAGATCGATCTGCCTTCAGGCCAGCGGTGTAAACAATTGTAGCCTGTCCTTGCGTTCATACTGTGGCTGCACTTGCTCTGTGCTACAGCTTCAGTCCAGGCAACAAACATTGTGTGCATGCTGGCCACATAACATCAACTATGGCCCCAAAACTTTAAGTATAAAATAAATGATATGCAAAGCTAACAAAACAAATTCAATGAACAGTGATAGTTGAAAATTAAAAGGAAAAAAAGTAAATTAGAAGGCAGACAAAAATTACTTTTATAAGTGTTTTTAAAATTTGTGCAATTATCCTAGGTTGCACAGAAATGACAGAAATGTGAACTGGAGATTGTAAATATTAATTCTATTAATTTGCTTTTGGAAAATTCATTTAGAGCTAGAGGCAAATGTAACAATTTGCTAAAGCATTTTCAAACCAGCATAGTGGGAATAAGTGGATCAGAATAAATTATAAATAAAAACAAAAAAGTAGTGTGTGTGTGTGTGTGTGTGTGTGTGTGTGTGTGTTAGTGTGTAGACTCAAACCGCTGGAGAAGAAATGGATAAAGTGCTTTAAAACACCTAAAGGACTGTAAACCACCCTGTGGTGTAATTTCTATAAGGGAAGATACCATATCTGTCTTATTCAACATTCTACCTTCATTCTATAAATATTTATTTTTTATGGGTTTATCACATTATCAATATTAAAAAAAAACACTTGGAATAGTTGGTTTAATTTGTAATCACTTTGTTCCTTTGAGTAATTGTGTTCAGCCCAAACAATTTCAATGAGTTTATTTTCTATCAATTTTAGGCTGGAGTCACGCTGGGCAAAACATAGCATAAGTAAAAAGGACTGTGAGATGCAATTCTTGACTTTATTTTTTTTGTAATTTATTTGAGGAAAATAATGTGTGAAAAATTTCTTAAGATTTAAAAAGTAGATCAAGACAACAATAGGAGATCTGTCACAGAGTTCTTTATGGTTAATTAATGAATCAATTTTAAATTCTTCATTCTTACCACGTGGTGTATTAGGTAACCATAACCATTTCCAATACAAAACACCAAAAAGTAATGGCTCGCACATCACAAATATTATTTCTCATATAAAGTGGGAAAATAGGAAACTAAGAGAACTTACTCTAACAACCAGAAATGAAAAAGGAGAGTTGTTAGAGGAAGCTGAACCTCAGGATTGGGGGGCTGGGGTTAGGGTTTTTTTTTTTTTTTTTTTTTTTTTAGGTTAAGGGATGTTGTATTTTATTTATTTTGTTGACTAATGACTAATATTTGAGAACATTTATGATATCAATGGAACTTAAGTGATTTCAAATTACTTTTAAAAATATTTTAACACTGGATTATTTAATAATAATGAAAGTCAAAATAATGGTGGTTAAAATTGCTTTGTGTGTCTACATAAAATTCAGTATTTGGTGTACAGTTCTTTGACTACAAGAAAGAACATTTGGTTCACTTCAGTAATAGGAATATCTCTTAATGCTGGAATGGTTTCTTCTTGGTGTTTCTTCTGCTGTTGATTTTTAGCACAGTTACTTGTGACTGTACGAATGGAACTGAGCAGAGAGGTACTCATCATGTTTACTCCCAGTAAGAATAGATAACCAACTACTTTAGTAATGAGGAGGTAGACAGACAATGCCACAGTCCAGTATTTTTGAGGCCCATAAGTTAAACCTAAGGAGTTTAGCCAAGACTCAAGAATGAAAGCCCACAAGATATAGTATGAAGCCAAATTGGGGGCTAGAACAAATCCATAAACTGCTCTTTTTGGCAACAGCGATGGCAAATTTTCCCTGTAGTTTTAGACAAGATCAGTTCAGAATCCCATGTGCAGGCACCAAACAGGGAGTCACAAGAGGTGGGTAAGAGAGGAAAAGTTGAGGGAAAGGCCACATCATGATGGAATACTCCCTACCCACCATGTTCACACCCCAGGGATTAGGTTTTAACTGCCAAGTGGTACAAGCACCTGTAATTTAGGCCAGAACAAAGCAGAAATGAATATTTAATAAAGCTACAACCATCAAAGGGCTATGCCACAGTGATGAGAAACAAAATCTACCCAGAGCAGTGACACAACCACCCTGCTCTTCTCTAGTCCCCCATCTTAAAAGTTGGCCTTAGTATTGCTTTCAGTTAAACCTGTGATTCAAAACCCTTTATGGTTCAATAACCTCCAGCCCATGAAATGAACATAAAACATGTTTCCCATTCAGTGATTATCTTTGTTTCCAACTACCTTCTTTGGAATGTTTCCCATTCAGTGCTTGTCCCTGGACTGGCAAATGCCAATCTTATCTAGAGAATCACATCCTCAACCCAGGTCACAAGGGATTCCTGCAGATATGAGCTTGCCTAATCAGAAAGGCAGCATCCAAAACAAACAAACAAACAAACAAACAAACAAACAAACACACACACAAACACAAAGACACATGCTACCATGAGCAAGAGCAGCCAACCGGCCAATGACCATGTGAGACCATCAAATTGTTCAGATAATGAGAGTGTTAACTATGTACTATAAAATATGACTAAACATATTTTTGAAAGGAAGAAAAATTTAATATATGAAGGTACTAACAAAAAGATCAGGGAGGCTTGAAAAGTAACCAGTTGATTTGTTTTGAAATATAAAATGTAGACATTAAAATACAAACTTTGTAGATTAAACCACAGCGTAGACAGAACTAAAGAGTGAATCAGTGAAACGGAAGCTACATCCGATAAATTTATTGAGAATGTAAACACCTTTCAGGAGTATAGAAGCAATCATTTTGGATTGGCACAATTAAGAGGAAGCATTGTGAAGGAGACACAATGTTAGCTGAATCTTAAAGGCTGGGCAAGCATGGGAAAAAGAAGGTATTTCAAATGAATGGCATGACATGAGCCATATTTCAGAGACTAAATTTAAGATTTATTTAGGTCACAGTGGGTTGACCACTTTGACTGAGGTGGAGAGTTTGTGTAGGGAAATAGAAAGAGATTAAGGCTTACTATGAAGGTTAGGGCCTATGCTTAAAGCCACATATAAAACACTGTAATGATCATGCACAATTAATTTGTTTTTTTTAAAAAAGCAGACACATAATACTGCTCTGCTGACATCATGGGCCACTCCAGCATGGCTTCTGCACTGAACAGGCACTGTGCACACCAACTTCAGGTGGAGGAGTCCTAAAGTCCCCGTCATGCTCATCCTTTCCACACAAAGATCTGCATTTCAAAAACTTTCAGGTTGAAATGTGAGTCAAAAGGGAAAGGAAGTCCATGGAATTTACAGTTGTGGCAGGCTAGGAATGGTGCTAAGGAGACTAATTTTATCTCCTTAAATTTATTTCTCAAGGTATAGAAGGGTAGGTTGTTTCTAATTCCTTTGAAATGTGATGGCAAAATGGATCCTAGCACTGGAAATTTTATAAGGTCTCAGAGGAAAAAGCAGATTTCAGATCCCCTAGTGAGGGGTGAGCTCAGTTTCAGGTGAATTATCTCCCTTGCTGTCTTTGCACGCCTTCCACCTACACAAAAGAATGTAGCACCAAGCCCTCCCACAGGGAAAGGGACAGACTCGCCCTGGATAAAGTGGGAAAGGTGTCAATTAAAATTTACCCACACGAATTCTGAGCAGACAAATTTGCACAAGCTGCTCTCCTTCCTTCAGCATTCGCAAGATGAAATAAAATGGTAGGGAAACCATATGACGATATTACAGCCAAATAAATGGGTAGAGAAATTAACAATTGAAGGAAGGTAGTTGGAAACAAAGAAATACAGTCATGAATAAATGAATGGATGAACGAAAGGCAAGAGATACTCTAAATCTGGAAGAACAAGGAGACAATTCCTTCTATTACTACAAGCACTAAAAGTCGTGAGAATACACATTCAGTAAAACAAAAACTAGTAGATGAATTAATAAGACAATGGAGTGAGAAGGAAAGAGACTGCAGAGATTAAGCTTACCATGACACTTTAAAAAATTAATTCCAGACAGCAGGGAGCAGAATATTTTGGGTTGAAAATAGAAACAGACAAATATTTGAGATAGCCTCAGTCCTCAGGGTGAGAAGACAACTAGGAGAGAAGATGACAGATGTAGAAGACAACATATTGGACCCCTGTGTTCCCCCAGTCCAGGAAGATAGGGTTAGAATGCAGGAAAATGTCCTTGAAATGAAAATAAAAGGAAATGTCTGCCACAAGAAGGTCCTTTATACCAGGGAAAAAGACACAGACTAGCTGATAGCCAACATTAAACTTCAAGTTTAAAGAAAATATTTCAAACATGCAGATCCTTTTTTTTTTTTTTTTTTTTTTTTTTTTTAAAGCAAGTCATCTAGAGGTGTGGGAGGAACAGAGTAACCAGACATTCCTGCAAGTTTTCACATCACCGTTAGGGTCATCCAATGCTGCAAATAAAAATATATCATGCCTAGTTAAATTGAAAATATTACACATAACATTTGGCGCAGACTTACACTAAAAAATCTGTTGTTTATCTGAAATTGAATTCAATGGGGCATCATGTATTTATCTGGCAGTCAGAAGTCACATTTAATGTCAGAAAGCAACAGAACAACATCTGCAAAGTTCTGGGGCAAAGAAAATGGGACTCAAGAATCTTATCCTCAGTCAACTGATGGTTCAATTCAAAAGAGCAATAGGCAGACATGAGAAAAGCAAAGAATTTAACCTTTTAATGAGGAAATTCGTTTAACTATGTAAATGATTCAAATGAAGAGCTCAGGAATCATGAAAGCCCAATGAAAAGGATGCTGAATCTGGGGAGCTCAGGGGCAGTTCACTTTAGGGGCTCACACATCGCCATCAGCTTTCAAAGTCTTCCTCTCTCAGTCTACCTTCACCGGGAAAATCATTTTCAGGACACTCTTGTCATACGGTGGCCCAGAAGCGGACCTAGACTGATCTACCATGTTGGCAACTTCTGTGCAAAGAGGATAGTTTTCCTTAGAAGGATCTCAGAACAACTCTTGGCCTGATCCTCATTTGCTTGCATTGGCCAGGCTATGTAATGAGCCCACGCTGGGATCAATTATTGTCACCATGGAAACAGGCTACTACTCTTATTGGCCAGGTGGCATCAGCTGGAGCCAGGACTGGAGGCAGCCCCACCTAAGTCGCTGAGGGAGGAGGAGGAATGGTTCTCCCAAGGAAATTTAGGTCCTGTGACCAAAAGAAAAGGAATTGATTCTGAGTAGACAAGAAAAGCAACTGTTTTGTTATGCTCTATTGCTATCTTCCTACCTAAAGTGCAAACTTCTTGAGAACCAGGGCTCTGTACTATATTCCACTTTATCTCCCGAGGATGGCCTCAGTTCCTTATAGTACAGGTGCTCAAAACTATTTATCAATTTCAGTTCAAGAATGTCCTTGTGAAACAAGAAGGTTGGAATACTTGAGCTTCAGGTTGCTCCAGCTGTTATAAAGTTCTGAGAAAGATTTCATGAGAACAGATCATAGGGGACCCTGCACCAAGCATTGTTGGCTTACTCTATAGTAAGACCCTGGAAGATTTATTTGTAGCTATAGCTCACAAGATAAATTTTCAACTTCAGAAAGAGCAAAGGTTTCACAAAGTCATATTGGATGAGTGAACTCTCATATGTTGTCAAGTTGATGACTCACAGTATGATGAAATAGTTTTCCTACTCACACATAGATGTTTTCCAAATATTCATATTTTTGGTTGAAATATGTTTACTTCTCATCACTTTCAAGCCTTTAAACAAGAAATGAGTGTCTCTTATTCATCCATTCTCCTCCCACTTATGCCCACTTCAAAAATCACTGTCTTAATTACTATCTCCCATGTTGCTTAGCCAGAAATTACTACCTTCCTTTTTCCTCTGTTCCCCCGGGGCCGATTGTCCACCAAGCCCTATTAATTTCACTCCCTAAATATATTTTAGATCTCTCTTGTACTTCAAATTCTCGCTCTTATCTTCACAGCCATACTCAATTCCTACAACTACTTACTACATATTCCTTCTATGGTGTTCCTCATACAAGGATTTGGTGGTGACAGTACTGGCACAAGCCAGTTGGCCTGGTTCAAAGCCTGAATCCAGCACTTATTTTGTGTGACTCACGTGGAGTTATATAACCCCTCTGAGCCTCAGTTCCCTCTTCTGTAAAATGAGAATTAAATAGTTCCTTATTGGATTGTTGAGATAATTAGGTGAGTGATAACATGAAATTTAAGCGTGCAGATCAAAGTCTGGCACATAGTGGACATTAGATAATATTAACTATTATTATTACTGGTCTTGTTTATAGCAATTTTTATTTTTATTATTTTTTAAATTTTTTAAAAATAAATTTTATTTTTATATTCCCCATACAATTGCAACCCCCTTATTTTGACCCCAATTCCTCCCCTCCCCACACCCCACCCCCCATAGAATGTCTCTGGTTGATAGTTTTTTGTTGATTTTGATTTTCACTTTCTTATAGTTATTCATTTTCCTGGTCCCTTATTTAAGTTTTCTAGATTCCTGCTATGAGTGAGACCATCTGGTATTTTTCTTTTTCTTTTTGGCTTATTTCACTGAGCATGATCCCTTCCAGCGCCATCCATGTAGCTGCAAATTGCATGTGTTTATCTTTTTGAATGCTGAGTAATATTCCATGGTGTATATGTACCACATCTTCTTGATCCAGTCATCTATTTTTGGGCATTTGGGTTGTTTCCAAAGCTTAGCTATTGTAAACAGTGCTGCCATAAACATAGGGGTGCAGGTGCTCTTTGGAATGGATGTTTCTGTGTCCTTTGGGTAAATACCTAGGAGTGGAATTGCTGGATCATATGGAAGCTCTATGTTTAGTAGGTCAAGAAATCTCACACAGCTCTCCATAGTGGTTGGACCAGTTTGCACTCCCACCAACAGTGCAGGAGAGTTCCTTTTTCTCCACACCCTCACCAACATTTGTTGTTGATAGGTTTTTTTAATATGTGGCATTCTCACTGGTGTGAGATGGTATCTCATGGTAGTTTTGATTTGCATTTCCCTGATTACAAGTGATGTTGAACATTTTTTTCATATGCCTGCTGGCCATTTGCATTTCCTCTTCAGAGAAGTTTCTTTTTAGCTCTTCTGTCCATTTTTTTGACAGGATTATTTTCTTTGTTGTTGTTGAGTCTCATCAGCTCTTTGCAGATTTTTGTGATCAGTCCTTTATCATTAGTGTTGGGTGCAAAAATGTTCTCCCAGTCAGTGGGGTTTCTCTTTGTTTTTGTTATTGTCTCTTTTGCTGTGCAGAAGCTCTTTAATTTGATGTAGTCCCAGCTGTTTATCTTTGCCTTCACTATCACTGCTTTGGGTGATGTGTCTATAAAGATGTCTTTGATGTGCAAATCCCGTAGTGTTTCGCCTATATTTCCTTCTATGTATTTTATGGTTTCAGGTCTTATGTCTAGTTCTTTAAACCATTTTGAGTTGATTTTTGTGTATGGTGTGAGGAAGTGGTCAAGCTTCATTCTTTTGCATGTAGCGACCCAGTTTTCCCAGCACCATTTATTGAACAAACTTTCTTTGCTCCAATGCATACTCTTTGCTCCTTTGTCAAAGATTAGTTGACCATATTTATAGCAATTTTTAAAGCAGCATTTGTCAAGTTTATTAAGGGAACAAAGAAAAAAGAAAAACACCTGCGTATAGAAAGACGGACAGTTTTAAAGCACAAGATCTGCTTTGCTTATAGCGATTTAAACGACTGATTCCTCTAGAATATTGGGGACTTAACAGTGCAGGATAATATTACCAACATTTTTAAAAGCAGTAGCATTAGTATCAATATTTTAAGCACTAGTTCTCTGCAGAGTTTAAGGGGATTTAATAATCTAGTCCAGTGAATTTCACTTATCGGAACGAGGCGGTTCTCCATAATAGCCATTAGATGGCAGCAAAGCCCTTCGCAAAATCAATCCTCACCAGACAAGGCTGCAGCGCACAAAAGCTCTACTCTTTGTCTCCTTCCTTTGTACAACCTCATTGTCGTCAAAACGAAAATATCACCCTGATCTTCATCATCATCATCATCATCAACAACAACAACAGTCACAACAAAGGCGATTCACAAAGAGGTCCAGAACTTTGTATATTGAACACAATTGAGAATTAAAGTCTTGGAAAGTCTTTGCTGCAGTTTAGGAATTATCAGTCAAAAATGCTTGAAATTATCATCATTGAACCAAAAGCCAGCTGCCATCTGACCATCTGACATAACAGGAATCTCTGAAGGCTCGTCATGGGAAAGCTGAGGACTCCAACTCTGCGCCAAGCGCTGCCGCCCACTGAGTAATTGTCTGAGATGACACACCTCTCCGTTGTCAACAAGAATTGTTTTCCTATCTTGTTTGGGGTGGGGTGGGGTTTCAGATATTCAATGGCTTAGTTACTGGCTTTACTTTCCTCTTCTGAGAATTTCTATATCTCATCTTCAAGATGAGAAGATTTGATGCCTTTGATTTGCAGTGAAGGGATTTCTTTCTTCCTTCCTTATTTCCAGGGCCTTTTCTTTCTCCACACAATTCTCATGTAGAAGGTCCTCGCGTCACTGACACCTCCAGTCACACCACTCTCCCTGCCGTGCTTCCATTGCTGTCAGCAGAGATCCTCAGTGGGCGGGGACTGTGCGTAGTGGAATTCCCCTAACCTCAGATTCTGCTCAGCACCCCTGGCCTGAGCTTTCTCCTTAACCCTCTTCAACTCTTACCAGTGAACGGCTGACACTTTCTCTTAGACCGGGACTTCTTTCTCTCACGCTCTTAAATATTCCTGGACTCTCACTTTCCTACTTCTCTTTTTCCCTCTAGATCTGTTCCCCACACCCTGTTCCTTCTCTCCTCCCTCGTCCCTCTTCTCTTTTCTGCATGCAATGCCAGCTTGAACATATAAGGAGAACATCCCGATGATATAAATTTGACCTTAAAAATCTAGAGGAGGTTTTCTTGCATGCTAAATTTGGTTGGGCTGTCTTGGTAGGAAAATATTATCTCCACCTAAAAAGCAAGCTCAAGCTTTGCTCCCTTCCATCCCGAACGGAGCGAGCGCCCCCTGAATGCACAGCACGGGTGAGTGCAGACCCACTCAGGGTCAAGTCAAGCCACGTGGAGGAAAAATCACTTGGCGTCCAGGCTCTATTTTTCTTATCACAATATCTTGTCCAGTGGAGAGGGGTTTTGCTTGCCTGCTCATTTCTCAAACCAAACCTCCATCGGAATTTTTGACTGTTAAAAAGGTAGCCTGAAACGTTAGCAGCTCTGATTCGGGCTATCGCAGCAAATTCAGTTTCTGGCGATGCCCTCATTTCTTCCCACCGAGCAGCCGACGGAGAGAGCTCAGACAAGGATCAAGAGGCAGAATCTGGGTTCCCCTCCTGTGATCACAGCTGCTCTGTTTCCCTTAGTCACTAAACATGTGCTGACCGAGTAGTAAAGCAAGCGGGCAAAAGCCATCCCGGCAAGCTCTGTCCTTAATAAAGAGTTGCGGGAATTTCAAAGCAGGGGAGCCTGTTTCTGTATCCCCCCAGGGCAACGGCAATTGCGCTAAGTACGCTAAGTACTTGCATTTCGGAATACACAAATGTGGAGAGAGATTTTGTTCTATTACCCTGTGCTTGCTGGCTGGCACAAAATGTACGCACAGCTACAGACGTGTGGGTTTGTTTCTCACGAGGAGCTGGTGGAGATTCTCCAAGCACGTGGGTGGAGCGGTGGCTGTGTGATCTGCCTCCCCAGTCTCCCCGCCGGCCTCCCTGCTGTCTTATGTAATGTGGTCTGTTTGCTGATGGCTCCTCCTTGATTGGCTCGAGAGTGGGAGCCGCAGACCCTGTGATCAGTTCCCATGGGTGCTGGACTCAGGCAGCCGATCGGATTCTGTATTTCTCCTGCACCAGGAGGTTAAACAGCATCGCTCAGGAAGTAAACGTGGGTGCTTGTGGCGAGGAATGATGGGGATGAATAATGGAGGTAGTTCAGGCAGTCTGAATCAGGAGAGGCTGGGTGGGTCGAGAGAAAAAGGAAAAGCCTGGAGGGCAATTGGGAGGAAAAATTCTGTGGCTGCTAGCAGGTGGCCACTGTCCCCAGGGACAAGTTCCTTATCAAATGTGAGTAGGAACCAGGGGAAGAAACCCTGCTGAGTGGAATGCCCAATCAAGGACCTGGCTTTCTCCCCCTGGCCTTTCCAACTAAATACTGAGGCACAGTTACCTCGCTCACTGCAGGGCATTTACCAGGAGGCAAAGGAGTAGAAAGACAAGACTCATCACAATCACAGAGGACGTGCCACCGAAGGGTTAGCTCTTTGTACTGTATTTAAAAAAAAAAATCCTCATTTGCTTTTAGTCAAACACTGTTAAAGTACCTATTTGCTCTAGAATTTTTTTTTCGTCCATCCTCTCCAAACTGAAGTGACATCACCCCGGTTTTGACTATTTTCGTAAGAGTTTAACATAAATAGCCAACATCTTTACCCAACCGTCCCTTTGGGGTTGCCTTATTTTCACTTCTTTGTAAATGTGCCCAGCAACAAGGTCTGTGAAGAGCTCCCCAAGTTAACAGAAGTGTTTTCAATTGCTCTTGTGCAAATCTCCATGAGAACTAACACAACTCGCAGTGGGTCCACCGGAGCCGCCAACTTATGAGTATAAACTTTAACATCAGTCAGTTCTCTAGAGCTCTCCCCCACCCCGCCCCCCATAAAAATTCTTTTTTTGGTATAATTTTGTTTACTTTGCCGAGTGCCTGTCGTTACCGAAGTTCATCAGCAGAGGGCGCGCTTTCACAGAAAATACAGCCGCTCCCGGCTCTGGCAGGTCGTTTCCCCTCCCATTTGCAGGATGGAAGAAACAGGTTTTATTCCGAGGTATTTTCAGTTCAAATTCAAGTTCTAGAACTTTGGTTTATTATTAGCCTGTTCTCTTACTTGGGTGGAAGGGAAGAGAGAAAAACAGATCTGTCTGCAACCAATGTGTTCCACCCCAATTCAGGGGCTGCCTCAGAAACTGTAAGTTTTCAAAGATAATCAAAATGAGCCCGGCGGCGTAGAGATCGCAGAGCACCGGCTCCGGCCTCTCGAAAATGACAAATCGCTTCACGTTACTCAAGACAACACCAAAGATTCACACCCACCCTCGCCTCCCCCGGGCCTTGTCCTTTCGCGAGTGATTTGCAATCCCAGACAAGGATTATATAACGATGAAGCAGAAGCCTGGAGCTCTGGCTTGTTATTTCTTTCAGAGAAAAGACATTAAAAAAGCTGTTATTACAGCACTATCCTAAATGCTTGTGAGAGAAACATTTCTGAGAATTGTTAGAAACAGGGCAGTGGAACGGATCAAAATGTGCATCTACGCTAAAAATTGTGACCATCGACAATTGCCCAAGAGGGCAGTTTGAATGGGAAGTCACTATTGGGGCGGGGTGGGGGGTGAGGATAGAAAAGCTGCAGACCCGAAGCCTGGGAAATAGGAGGTGGACTCTTGCCTCACTGCCAACTAGCTACCTCTGTCTGCGTGTCCCTAAGTTAGTTACTTAACTTCTCTGGGTGTCACTTCTGCAAGCTGGAAGATCAGATGATCTCCTGACCCCTCCCTTTCTAACAAATTACTCCTCAAGCAGGAACACGTTTAGATGACATTATTAATTTGACTTCTCACGAAAACACATCAGGACCCATTAATAAATCACCCACTTTACAGGATACTATAATATTTCAAACTTTCTGAAGTCCCCTCTATTTTGTCTTTGAAAACGGTCCATTATTCAGCCATAGTTTCTTTAGTGCTTTTATGGCAAAGGGCCCTGGAGCATTTGACTCCAGGGACTGCTAGAATAGTACTGTGATGTGGTAGAAGAACATCAGGCTTAGATTGGGACCCTGGATCTGTTTTGCGACCTTGCAGGGGTTGTTACTCATTCAGGCTTTTGATTTGTCAGCTGCAAGAATCTTTCAGGGTCATAGTGCAAAATAATGAGCTTGTGAGATTGGCGGGGGGTGCTGGCACATAATATATTGGAGCCATTAATATATTGGAACTCTTCAGTATTATTAATATTTATCATTACCACTATAATGTCTATCCTATAAAATTGTTTAGAAGGTGATGTGACCCAAAGAACTCCGCAATATTGAGCTAACCTGGTGATGTGAACTAACTTAGGAAGTTCAGAATTGCAAACTCTTGAATGAAGAAATTTAAGGCAGGTTTTAAAGAGATGGGATCCTGTCTTGGCAAGGGACTTCATCTTTGTCTCCAAAAGTTGAAATTTGGGAACCCTTAGAGTATCTAGTCTTTGTAAGCTAAGGAGATGGTGTAGACATTTTTTATGGTGGGAAGTGTACAGATTTTCAGTGTACGTGGTGTTGGCTGTTAGAAAGTTCTGGTGTACAATGGTGGGAGGGTGGACAGGGGTCCTACTGTTGTGGGTGGTAGCAGTCCCATGGTCATTGCTATGTCTCCTCGAAAATTTATATCGCCCCATTGGAAACAGAAAAGGCAGAGTGACACCAGACATTACCCGTATAATGGTCAAAGTCAGTACTGGGAAATCTCATTCACCCACCCAGTTAAGCTGAGTCTGGAGGATGGTGTGTGAAGCGGCATAATTGAAGATGTGAGCCCGGGGTGGGGGGGAATTCTCTCTTTCCTTTTGGGGTTCTCAGGGCCATATGCATATACAGCAGAATCTCTGGGCGCCTTCCCCACAGCCCTCGGTACTCACCTGTACTTGCTGCAGGCTGCTTTCTGGGTGGAATCTGTGACTCGCTGGCTGAGGTCTTTTTCTCGCTAGGGTGCATGCTCAGTCCATACTCAGAGAAAGCTGCAAGTGCCTCCAACAGCAACTGTCAAGCAAGGATGGACATGGGAGTTGGTGGAGAAATATCTCAGTTTCCTTGCCTATCGGTTGAGTTAACACTGAGTATGCTCCTGGGTGTCTCCCAGCGTGCCCCACAGGAGGCACAGCATTTATTGGCTTTCTTCTCTCCCCTGGACTACTCATCCCTCCCTTCCTGGTGGATACAGAACTCTGGGACTCTATTCCTTGCTTCTGTGAGAAACCAACCTAAGATACCAGCCAGAAGTTTCCATTTCAAAATGTCTATGTGATTTTCTGCATGGAGAACATGAGGTATGGTGCTGTGCAGATAAAACTCTGAAAGTGGAGCCTGCCACTTAGCTTTGAGACCTTGGGTCAAGTTCTTTATGCCCTCCAAGGTTTAATGTGCTGTCTGAACAATGAGGAGAGTAGCAACTCCCAGTCATCAGAGTGAGGTGATGATGCAGTGAGTGTGGTTATGCACACGCAGTGCCTGGCCCAGCGTCTGGCTCATAGTTTTAGTTTTCAAATACATGGTGTTAATCACTGCCCATTATTGGTCTTATTCCCCATCCTCATGTGCATAGGAGAGCTCCTATATTGGCTGTAAAGGATGTCTTCTGAGGCTACCAGGAAATCAGAAGAGAAAAAATGATGATTTGTAGCTTTTTCACTCCCATGGCAGATCATAATTTTCTCAGGAGCATTAAGCTTCATTAAAAAAAAAAAAGCTATAGGAGCAGGAAGACATGGAGACACACATAGAGAAGTGCCAATGAGAGCGATCTGACCTGGTCGGGCTCTGAACATGACAGGTGTGCAAGTGGGAGCTAGAACAGTGAACAAAGCCAGCATCGGAGGTGTTATTTTTAGAAGCTGGAGAAATTCTGGGGAAGAAGTAAGAGGGGAAATATGCAGCATTTATGTAACACATTTCCAAGTAGCTCTGAAAGGAAGTTTTATATTTAATGGAGTTGTTAACAATTGGGATTTAAAGCCTAAAATAGAAGTAAGAACACTTAGCCAACTTGGGAGTATTTTGTTGGGTATGCTGTAGAATATTAGGTTGGGGAGAAGCTGTATGCAGGGATAGGTAATATACATGGAAATTAACATAGCACTTTTATTAAATTCATGCTTGATTTTTTTTAAAGATTTATTTATTTATTTATACAAGCACTGGGTACAGTCAAAGCGCGGGAGGGTGAAAGAATTCACCAGAGCCAGAGAGGGGAGCAGAACAGACAGACTGACAAAATACACTGCTAAGGGGAGCAGCGGGCATGGCAGGAGAGGTCTGCGTGCCTTGTGGGACCCTCGCCGGTGGCCGGGGATGGAACTGGCGCTGCAGAGGCTGTGGGCAGCTTCACAGCCCAGCGCTCAACCGCTGCGCCACCAGGGGAGGCCCATGCTTGATTTTGTTTTAAGATTCTTACAGATGCCTTTCCTCCATCCTCTGGACTCACCCCACACGCGTCTTTCCCTCCATGAACCCACATTCCTTGCCCACTAGCTTCTCTCTGTCTTCCCCTTAATAGAGTAGCATTTTCAACGTCAGTGCGTTGCTCATGTTGCTTTCCCAATCAAGCTTGCCTTTCTGCTTACTTTCCTCCCATAGAAGTTCTTTCTTCAAATTTCGTCTATTACTGGGAATCCCAGAGACTCTTCGCTTTGAATTTTGGGACTAGAAAGAGAAACTGGGTCCATGTCATGAGGGCTTGGATGTCGCTGTCATCAGCCTCTAGAAAGTAAAGTCACTGGGAGTCTTGGAGGGGGGCAGTCACTGCCCACGGGGTGTCTGAGGAAGACGTTAGTACCGTGGTGGTGGTGTGACTGATAGAGAAAGAGGCTGGCCCAATATCTGGGAGGCTGCTGTGATGACTCAGCTGCAAGGAGGTCAGGATATAAACTAAAGTAGAGCCAAAGGGACAGAAGGGATGACTTTGAGAGACTTCTAGAGCATTCACTTGAAAAATCCTGATTACCTTCTGGATTGGGGAACAGGAAGAAGAGAGGGTAAGAGTTACTGTGGGGAGCTTGGTGTTTCCACAGATTTGTGGAGAGCAGCGATAGCGGATCAGGAGTGGAGATGAGAGAGGTGAGAATCCTGTTTGGACTGTGCTGCTCGCTCATTCTCCTGCAGCTGCCCCAGTGCAGCACTAGATGCATGAGGCTGACTTTGCAGACAAAGACAGAGGAAGTGAGGCAGATTTGGGAGTCTTCTCTTCAACTTGGTGATGAAATTATTAGGAGAGACAGTGAGGAGGAAAAGAATAGATCCTTGGCAAAAGCAACAGGAAAGTCCAATGTTTAAGAAGTTGATGCAAGAACACAAGAAACACGAATGAGAAGCAGTCTGAGCAGTAGAAGGAGAACCAGAGTGTAGAGGCTCAGATGTTGAGAGAGGGGGTTCAGAAAGAAGGGGTGGCTGGAGAGCGCGGAGACTGCAAAACCATCATGTGGGGTGAAAACTGAGGCACGCCTATTCGATTTAACATTTCGGTGACTGACCAAGTTGCTGGGTAGAAGTAGGTATGGAAATCCCATTGCAGGAGACTGAAGAGGGTGCAAGATGGGAGAAGGGGAGAGAATGGAGCTAAATAACTTCTCAGAGGACTTTGATGTTGAAGGGTCAGCGCAACCAAAGCTAGAAATGATGCTCCAGGAACATTTCTATGCATAGAACCAGTTTTGGTGTTGACCCTCGCTAAATGCTGATTTGCTCTTATTGTCTAAATCTGTCAAAATCAAGAAAGAGGCTGAAGTGTAGCAAAACGAGATCAAGAACACCCAGGGCAATGAGACCTGCCAGAACTGCTACAATGAATTGATTAAAAAGTAGAACAAGAGAATCCAAAGGTGTCTCCTACACTGTGTGAACCAAATTTCCTTTTGTTCCTCATCACAGAGGGGAGGTAAAATATAATCATGCCCTAAATGCTCAATTGTGTAAGCAGGGATATAATTTGCATACACAGCCCAGGTAATACTATTGGGAAAATCGTACCTGAAGTCTTAATGAGGAAATTTAAGCAGATGTGATGGAGGAATTAAAACTAATGTTAGCCTTTGTAGTCAGTAAATTCCAGGCATAGCAATTTCTTCTTTTATGAATGTGAGGAGAATTTGATGACTAAATTAAAAGGAATAGTCAGGCTAGTCGTTGGGGTAGTGGTGAAGTCCTTAACTTTGTAAGTGCTACCAATAAGAATATAAAAGCATGTACTTTTGGGATAAATTGCCTTGTACTGAAAATGATTGGTTTTCTGATAATCTGACCAACAATTTTGGGGTGTCTGGGACATCATAGGCACTACGCTGTTAGCATAGTAAGATCTTAGAAAAACTGAATTTGAAGAAGGATCATCAGTGGCTACCGCCTCAAGAGAATCAAGCAGATACGATTTGCTTCCTGATGGAAGCATAAAACATCATGTATGAAGTTCTCTTGTCAAAATATTAAACCAGAGTCTGATCAAGTCTCTAGATTGAACTATTAGGGGACAGAGGAACATGTTAACTTGTACTATAGGGATGCAGTTAGAAAAATCTTGATTATCATAACTCGAAGGACAAACAATATGCTTTCTTCAATCACAAAACTGCATTGAAAAATGAGGGAGTGAGGGAGAAAGAAATTGAAGCTAGAGATTAAGAAAGTCCTAAAAAGCTGTATCTACTAGTTGCTACTAATTGCAAAGTATGAATTTTATTTGATTCTAATTTAAACAAGTTATAAACAAAACATGAGATTGGGGAAGATTTTAATACTTGCTGGCCATTCTTTAATGATATTAAGGAATAAGTATTCATTTTCAGTAAGAATAAGGACATTATGATTATATTTTAGAAAAAGAATCATTGTTTACTATCACCTGCTGAAATACTGAAAGGTTAAAATGATATGACCTCAGTCAGATTGGTTTCAAAGTATCCTAAAAGGAGGGGCAAAGTGGGCAGGGTATACTAGAAACACATTTGGCCACGAGCTGGTAACTTTTAAAACTGGGTGATGGGTACAAGGGGTGGGCGAGGGTGGGTCTTTCTTTCAACTTTTGTTTATTTCAAATTCCCCATAATAAAAAGTCTTATCAATTTGGCAAAAGTAGGCCTAGCATCATTCAAGATGGCTAAGCATTAAAATTAGATTTGTTCCCCTAATCAGTGCAATGGTTACAGAGCTGTGTGGCAGGTACAAGGCACTTGTGTTCACATGAGATGCGAAGAATGACAAATTGAGCCACTTTTCCTGTAACTTGAGTTGAGACATCACTGGCATCCTTTTATCTGTTTTTCCTTTCATCTTGAAGATGTTACTTCAGATGGTGATGTGAAATTTGGCACAGAGTGGGCTGAGAGCAGTGATATTGTGTGGCAAAACAAACTCAGGAAGAGAGTATGGGGAAGAGACGGAGGCTTAGTCCCTGCATTATCTCAGGCCTTTTCCCTCATTTTCCTTGGAGACTATTAGATCCCGTAAATACAGTGAGAAGGAATATGCCAGGCTTCCTGGAATCTTGGGCTGATGATGTTTATAAAATAGAATGAAATAATCGTAATAATGATGACCATTTATGAAGTGACTCCCACACGCTAGAGGTGCTATTTTACAGGCATCGTCTAGTTTATTCCTCACAACAACTCTATGAATTAGATACTATTACAGTGATTATTATTTACATCTTTTGGAAGATAAGTGTTCTGTCAGGGCCACACAGCTAGTGGCAGAGACGGGTTGTAACCTGGATCTTTCTAACTCCAAAGCCTGTGCTCCTGCTTCTTAGCTTTTCTTGTTTACATCCTAGGAGTTCTGATGAAGACAACCCAATAGATTTAGAATGTCACTGTTGCTCTAATTTTTCTCCTTTGCATTATTTGCAAGTTCTCCAAACATTATTTCAATGGAGACCCTGGCACTTTGAACAGAGGCCCCCAGAGGCCCTGTCTGGTATCTAGCCATTTTGTACACATGGATTTCACCTTGGGTGTGAATTTTCCAGACTTATCTTTAGCCCAGTGAGGAAC